TTTTGTTTGATTCAATCTATGATCACCTTTTATGACCTTTGTATACGTGAGTATGAATCACCGAGCCATTAGTGTCCAATTAACGATGCTTCATGTCAAATACTGATTTCAAATCAAATTAACTGAGGTTTCGATTATTAACGAATCTAGTTAAAACTTTGACCGAGCGGCAAAGTTCGAGAGTGGGTATTCGGCTCAACAGCACGCTATCTTCGCTTAGTCCTCAGATCGCCGGGTTTCTATTATCGATTTTCGCTTAGTGGGACAATCGTCGATAGGGAGTCGAAGTCCTTAAAAAAATCTGGGAACGCTTAGGCTACTGCGCAGGAGTTGCTACCCTCAGCTTAGAATAATTCTGGCTCTGCTTGGCCACCCGATCGAAATCAGCTTCTGGCCCTCACCGACTTTATTGTCCTGAGGGTGTGATAAAGGCTGGCCAGCGTCGTATCGAGCTCGCAAACTGCTTGCAGGCCGTCTCTCAAGTCCGGCCGAAGCGGACTTTAGCGGCTGATTTACGTGCTCCCAGAGTCCTGGGCCTATGCTTTCAAAACTCGCTAAGTTAGCGTAAACACTTACGCTCTATTTTCTTGTCTATGATTGGTTGATTTTGGTTGAAAGGCTGTCAATGGTTGGCTGATGAACTTACGATCTCTTAACTTTTTTTGAAAGTATGGGCCCTGGGCGGTACCTGGTGCGGAGTCGGATCCGCGTCCAAATTTAATTAAGCGTAAGGCTTTGGTGGAACACTCACCTTCAGGGAGGCGGGGTAAGGCACCAGCTCCATGCCATTGTTCTGGCATGTATTCAGTGCGACTCTGGAAATAATATATATGATTTAATTCGTCATTGCCTATATAGAGTTTTATTTTAAATAGATTATGAGTTATGCGAAAAATTATAAATATTGGCGAGTTCTTTATACACGCCACTTTGATGCAAAAATCGGATCATATTTTCGTTAAATCTTACGACTGTTTAGAAGCTTCCTGAATAATTTCAGTAGGGGAAGCAGAAATTTTTTAAATTCAAAATTAACGAGAAGATTTTGACAGGGAAACGGTTGGGAAGGCCATATTGGATATTACAATACAAAATATTATAGAAAGAGAAGAGTTTTTCATATAGCTTGAAATTCGTGAAACAGAAACGGCCTCTGGCCTCATACTTCCACGTTTTCTAGCAGATGGAGAGAAGGATGAAGAGATCACAACTCGTATAGCTTGAACGTTAAAAAATTGCGAGGTAGAAACGGCCTCTGGTGACATATTTCCCCTCACCTTTTTAGCAGACGGAGAAAAGGATTCCTTCACTTACGTGGGTGAGACGCCTTCTTGATGAGGATACTCGTGCAGGAGGTAGCGGTCCCTGTAGGAGTTGAGCCTGAAGGCCGTCGGTGTTGAGGTCTTCACGGCGCCGGCCACCGTAGCCGCCACCACCAGCAGGCACTGCGGCAGTCGAGACCAACACTTTGCTTTCGATACTTAAAACCTTTATTATGTACCACTTATACCACTCTAGGACTAGGTGGTACATAATAAATTCATAATAGTAAAAAATTAAATAATAGTACATATTTAACGTAACATACATACATACTTTCGATACTTGACGCTCATAAATAACTTTATCGTGGTGCGAAAATCTTTAAACAGAAAAATTGCAATCTCGTTTTTCTCTAGTTAAGGTGCACTGTGTAATAAACTGAGCATTACTCAAGACTTTACCGAATACTCATGAACCAACCAGGTTCATCATATTTATTGTAGTACAAAAAGGACAGAAGAATAAAGGCATTCGTAGATTAAATCTCCATTCAAAAAATAAAAATTTCAACAATGTGTGTAAGAGAGAAGTCAAATTCAAACTTCACTTTCAGGTCTAGATTTGGAGGTCTCTCTCAGGGTTGCCAGATGGCCTGAAAACGGTCAAGTCCGCGAACAAAAAATTAGATCAGTACTCACTACATGCAGTGAGTGACAGAGAGCGCATTTTTTCACGTCCGTCCGTCCGTGGAGTCACGGACGGACGGACATGAAGAGCACAATAGCGCCTTTTTGTCATAAATGAGGAAATGCGCTAAAAAGACCTATGACTCAATATATACTAATGTATTTGTGGGTTCAGGTGTAAAAATTCAATTTTCTTGCAGTTTTTAAAATTTAATTAGAAAGAATCTTTATCATGAATTAAAGCCGGCCAACATAATTAAAAATACACAAAATCGCGAAATTTGTCCGAAAAAAACCCACTGGCAATCTTGGTATGATGGAGCAGATTGAGTGAGCCACTATTCCGCACTACAAGGTCGATCCGGCAGCATCATATACTTTGGTTAAGGGGACCATTTCGGGCAAAAATCGAAAATTTTGGCTTTTCCGTTTTCTTGACTCATTTCATAGCTGCTAAAAAGGCGCGTCTAACGCAGCAAACCGCATATCTGTGCATGCTCCAGTTTTTGCGTAAAGCAATTTTAAAATCATAAAATGAACATTATTAACAATATGTACAAAGATTTATTTATATTAAATCTGTATTTATAGATCACTATGCTTGTTGATTGCAAAGTGTTTGCACTCGTTTGAAAGCTACGAACAAGACGCGTTCAACAAAGCTAATACCATGGATATACATTTGATAGTTTTGCGTAATACTGTTTAAAGTTATATAAAATGAATATTTATATAAATATAAATATGAAAAGCCCCATTTATAGATTATTGTTCACGTTAAACTGGATATGAATAAGTCTAAAGATGCGTGCTGGTACCCTAAATGCAAATAATTGGCAATGGGATACCTTAGGCTACAATATCAAGAATATTTTATGCATATTCTTCTTTTTTTCAATAAATTTAACTAAATTTGGCTCCATTGAACAATTTAAAAACCCAAAAAACGCCATCTTAAAAACTTAATAACTAAAACCGCAATGAAAGACATATCATTCGATTCGTAAAGACCATACCTAGCGACCGTAGGAGCCATTTTTGAATTTGTGCATGGTTTGACTTATAAATGGGGGAGTGGGGGTGGGGGAGGGGAAATGTGGAAAAATGAAAAAAAAACGCAATAAAAAAACTAGATGGAAAATGAAAAAAGTGATGTTAGAGTCGATAGATATGGTCTTTACGAATCGAATGATATGTGTCTCGACATTGTAGAATGTGATTTGCAAAAGTTATTAACTTTTTTAAAGTACCCCCTTTTTGCTGTTTTCTATCAATTTCGAGTTTTCTTTCATTTTTTCAAAAAATTCACCCGAACAAAAAAGTCTTAGATTTCTGTTTTACATATGTGTGTCAAGTTTCAAAACGATCCATCCATCAATAAAAAAGTTTTTTGACCGAAACGGTCCCCTTAACCCTCTACCGCCGTAATGTCACACTCAGGGAACATAACTTTCAACTTAAATTCTCCATGAACTATTGAATGTAACAACCAGAGGACGTTTGTACGCAACAGAAAACATTTTAAAATTGTCGTACGTGGCGACAACCATCAGTGCAAGTCATTTTGCGCTCACTAGAACGTATTGTTTTAGGGAAGTAGGCTTGTGACAATATTGCTTCGGTTACTCGTGTCAGGCGGTAGAGGTTAAAAGCATATTAGTATAAAAGGCATCTATAAAAGGTGTATTTCCCTCTTCTACACTCTCACCGGTCTATACACTATGCTCACAATTCATGAATGTGTCTGTGGACGCAGGTTGTCTAAGGAAGGGTCCAAAAAGTATTTACTTTGATTCTGATACCTAACGCCATCAATAACTTTAACATATGAAAGGAAAATCTGAAGCCGGAACAATCGCAATCTCGTTTCTCTCTCACCAAAGAAGAGTTCCAATAGAACCACCCACCACAGTTAAAATCAATGCCTTGTTTTGAAACACCCAAGTGTTTCAAAACAAGGGTCTTTTTTCTCTCAGTTCGGTAACATCATCCGGTTTTGGTTACAACACATCGGTATAAAAGGCAACTATAAAAGGTGTATTTTCATCCTTTACACTCTCACCGAAGAAGAGTTCCAATAGAACCCCCCGCAGACGTCGTGTTGAATGCAGCGGGCCGCACAAGCCAGGGGGGTCGGGGCGCCCTCCTCCTGCAAGGTCCAGATTGGGAACCACATTTGGACCACGAGCCCGAAGAGGGCAACCACACCCGCGGGCATCATGGGCTGTTTCTGTGAGGTGGGCTGCCCTCGAGCAGTTCAAAAGGCGTGCAGGTTAACCTGGAACCAGAGGAAATACATAATTATTTGTTTCATATATACATCAAATATTATTAGTGGATCACCGTTTGTTCAAATTAACAGTGCGCTCATTTAATTGAATTACAAGTTGTCTGACAGAACTTTGAACGCTTCCAAGTGCAATCTTAACCTTAAATGCGAACTCTGAATGGCCGTACCGCGAACTTTATCAATTTGAAAGGTAGTTTTTCTGAATATTTTTCATGTTTATGAAAAGAAATAATAAAACATAACAATAACAACAAATATTGTTGAAATCCAGAGCCTGGAACTGCCAACCCAGTGCCTGGTAGTACCAATGCAATAGTTCAACGTCGTAGGCACCGTGGATATATATAGTGTTGGTTAATTGGATATTCTTAACAAGTACCGCGGCTAATTTTTTTATATTCATCAAAATAACTGGGCGGTTATTTGCAGGATTCCATACCAAAAGATGGCTAAATTCACTTGATTGCAAGGCACTCAACTTGATAAAACAATTTTCTCTACAAGCAATTGCAAAACAATTGCAACGACACTCAAAAAATAGCTAACTTCCGAAAAACTTCCTAACACTTCAGGGCCGAGGTACGTAAGTTGCTGAGCCATATAAAGGCCAAAAGGAGTTGTTGAGCCATAGAATAAGCCGAAAATAAGTTGCTGAGCCGTAGAATAAGCCGAGAGTAAGTTGCTGAGCCGAATAGAATTGAGCCGAAAATAAGTTATTGAGCCATAGAATAAAATAGAAATTTCTCCCCGTCCTTCACTCCCCGTCCTTCACTCACAGGTGGCCGAGGCTGAAATTAGCGGCTGATTTGCGGGCTCCCCGAGTCCTGGGCGGCACCTGCTGGAGGGTCAGGGCGGCATAAAAATTTTCTCAGAGTGACGTATATTTTTCAATTATTTATTTCCCAGAATAAATGAATGTTTTCTTAAATAATCAATAAGTGGACAATATTAACAGACTGGATTAATGTATCTTGAATAATTTAAAGTATATGGAATTATCCGAAGTGTCCAAAATTAATAATTTCGTGCAAAATTAAATACTGGACCCAGAATTCAAGGTCCAATATTATTTATTGCATTTTCGTTCAGAATTAACCAAGGTGTCCAGAATCAACCGATGTGTCCAGAATCAATCAATGTGTCCTGAATGCATAGCGCCTGACCTCGCGTGTCGTTCGCCACTTCGGTTTTCTACTCCGATTTTGCAAAATTGCCCAAAATTGCCGCTAACTGGCAAAGTTTGGGCAATTTTCTGTAATTTCTGGACAGAGAACTAAAACTTTTGGCCCTGGGCATGCATCACCTTAAAAACTTTACTGCTTATACCTCACACTGTAGAGAAGTTAGTCAGAGTTTGCCCAAATGCTGATGTATTTGGGTATCATCCTAACACACTTTGCCTCTGTGTGGGTCATCCTAACACGCCTCTGTGCGGGACATCCTAACACACTTTTCCTCTGTGCGGGTCATCCTAACACACTTTGCCTCTGTGTGGGTCATCCTAACACACTTTGCCTCTGTGCGGGTCATCTCTAACACACTTTCCAGCATCAACTAATGCGCTGAGAATGTGGCTCGCTGGCCTCGCATGTCGGTCGACACTCGGAGTCGTCGTCTCATAAAGTCTGTGCGAATTATCAAGCCAACAAACGCCGTCCAATTATCTTCCAAAGTTTGGACAATTTTCCGCTAGTTTTGTACAGCAAAAACCGAGGTCCTGAAATTTAGGCAGTGGATGTACCCAAACTTTTCACAGCGCCTAATTAGGGAATAATGTGAGTGTCGCTCACACTCAGACATACGAGAGACACTTTGTCCAAATACCGATGCACGTTTTGCCCTTTAATAAGTAAACCATAATTTACCCTTTAATATTCAACCTGATCCAGTTTTTCTCGGTAAAAATGCGTATCAGGGCTACGTCCGATTGTTGCTTGAGCTGTGGACAAGAAACTGTGTCATTAATTAGACAATGACACATTAATGGTTAACTATCATTATTCAGAATGATAATAATGTTTTCTTGCGTCCAGAATATTTGAGTTACCGCGCAAGATGTTCGGCCGCTGCAGCGCAGTCGATGTATCGATGCACTCCAGGGCAGCTGCCATTTACGCAGAAATCAGACCAATTCCACGAGGCTAAATTGGCCGCCATCAGCGATGCCGGCCGCTGAAATTGCGCCAA